GAGCCGTACAAGATCGCGCCCTCCACCACGTCCTCCTCGAGGGCGCATCGTCGATCCAGCTTCGTTATCATCGCGGACTCGAGGCCCGTTTCCCCGGAGGCGAGGAGTCCATCGCCGCCGTTGGCCACTGGCAGGGTCTCGCCCTTTCGAGGACGTGGCTTTAAAGGACCACCGCCGCGATCTAAGTCCAGGGCACAGTCTCCGGAATTTATGAATGCTCGTAGAAGAGGAAACAACGAACGACGAGGTAAGTTTCGCGTGTATTGTTATTTTGGAAGCGTTGTGTGGAGTATCTGAAACATTGTTGTACGTCAATCGCGTTAAAGACAGAACTGGTGTGAATACACGAGTCGAATGTTACGAGAATTTATAAATAAATCTTATTCCTTATTCCTTTCAAATATTCTTCTGCTATGTTATGTTTGATACATCGAAACACGTATATCGAATATTAAAAGGATCTACGATAAAAACATCGTTATTGGTTGCTATTCGTAGTGGGAAGAGCAAATGTTTCTTGTACTTCAACTGGAACTTGTACTTTTCCAGTTTCAGTGTCGCAACAGAACAGCCCAAGAAGAAGCCTGATCCCGCAACCAACGCGTCAGCGTTCGACGTCTCTGAGCAAATCAACGGAGCGCCTTACCTCGCCGAAGCTGGGTCGTCGCGTGGATTCGCGCACTCGCTTCAATACTACGGATTCCAGGAATCGTTTGAACGCCTCTGGGAACAGTAGCAGCGTGGCGAACCTCGCCACCCGTCGACAGGCCTCGAAAACAGTCAGCAAGCTCTCCCCGATCCAAGGAACTCCGACGAAACCGGAGAAAACGCCGCAATTTAAGAAAAGGGATCGTTCGAAGGAATCCACGAGATTGTCGCCGGCGAAGCAGCAGAAATTTGCCGCGTCCCCATCGAGGAATGCTTGGAACGCGAAGAAACAAACGCACGAGAAGGTCTCCGTTCCAGGAAAAACGCAAGGCAAGGAACGAGTGGTATCACCGTCGAAGATTCCGCTGAAAACGAACAGAATCAACTCGAATGTCTTGAATCCAGCCAGATTCATCAATATCCCTAATCCAGCTAATGGGAAAAATAAAAAGGCTACCGATAAAGGGTCCAAGGAAGTTCGTATAAGCAACGGGCAGACGAACGAGTCCACTCAAGGCAGTAAACAGTCTGACCCAGGATCGAAAGGCTCTCAAGCTAACGAGAAGAATTCGAGTACGGAACAGTTAGCTGATCTGCATCTTATCGATCTTTTAAAACAAACTTCTAGCGCTACAGGTACGTCTAGCGTGGTGAACACAACAGCGACGACGGCTGTTCAGCCGCTTCACATCGACGCCAATGCGGTTCTTATGGATAAAGAGATTTCCGAAAGGAAAAGTCAGTCTGAGAAAACGAAGAGCCAGTCTGAAAAGACGAAGAGCCAGCAAGACCTGTCTAATAGCAAATCTTCCAATTCATCGAACGATGAAAACATCGGCAAACAAGTCCAAAATTCTCAAGTTGCTAGTAACGAGGATAATCGTCAGATCTCCAAATCGAACAAATCTAACGGCAACCATGGTCGAACGAAGGGTGGAACAGAGAGTAGAAACGATTCGCCAGTTCCTACCGAAAATGTTAGCGGTCATTCGAAGAGTAACAGTACCAGTCATTCGGTGAAAAGCATAAACAGGGTGATCAGTGCTACGAACAACACTGGTTCGGCGACGCAGCGTTCGAACAAGATTCAGAATGCGGTGAACGATCAGAATACGAAGAATTTCAGGCCGAACGATCAGAAGATCGACGAATCTGTCTCCTTTCAACCCGTGTCAACCAACGTCCAATCAAATTCAACTAAAGCCAACGAGATCGAATCGGTAAACAGTTCCATCAGAAATTCTTCGGGTGCAGAGACTCAAAGGACAGCAGTTTCCGCCGCGAGTGCTTCTGTGAGACAGGAAGACGCGAGGACGATTTCGCGGTCCACTAATAATTCTGGAACGAAGATCGTAACGAATGCAACTACGGTAACCGTGAAAAGTACTTCCGTGAAAGGTACTTCTGACCAATCGACGATAGCCTCGAGGGCGAACAACGTGTCCAACGTGGTTGGTGCGGTGAGCAACGACGCGAGAAATGTAAATAGCGCCGGGATGAAAGCTCGTACCGATAATCACGGAAGTGGTACGTCCGTGAAATCGTCCGCGAGGGTGTCGATCGATTCCATCGAGACCGTTCGATCTACGGACACCGGGGTGAGCGTGGACACCGTCAGAGGAGTATCTTCGCCGAGGGAGAAAACTGGAATGCACGTGGTGAAAAGGCCGCAGGAGATCGAGACGTTAAGTGGGAACGTGGTGTACTTGGAGCAAAACGGCGAGCCAGCGTGAGTAGAATTTATAGCGCTGTTATTTCATCGTTCACCTCGTAAATTATTCCTGTGATCCTATGGAAAAGGATTCTGATTCTGGTCGTTTCGATAGGTTGAACTCTGTCGTTCTTTCTTTCTGGAAACACAGTTTAGTTATCTCGGGAATTAACGATAATAAGTACACTGTGAATGTTCATGCATTTGTGAGAAATCTAAACATGCAAGAAGATATATGTAACATCCTATTCGATCGTTTCTTCTCCGACGTACGTATTTGTAATTTCTTCTGGACATAAACAAATAATCGTAGATGCATATTCATTATAAAAACACGTTCAGATAACTACAATTTTGTTTGACTCGAATACTCGAATTTGTATACGAGTTTCTCCGAAGATTAATCGATCGACTCCACTTTTTGTAGATTTCACCATTTCATCAGATAAACGAGCTGCGCCATAAGATTTCTCAAATTGAAATTAGGTTTTCAACGTTTGTATTAATTATTCGAAGATTGATATGGAACGTTTTCGCACTGTCGACTCGCTTAAAATTAGGTTTGAATCGATTACTCTCAAGGACTTAAAACTACCGCCACTTTCCACTTCGACCAACCGCGAAATTTCGACTCTGAACGTTTACTTGTAATTTTATTCCTTGATCTCACGGAACCGGATTTATATCGAGACTGGCAGATATTAATCTGGAAAGATCCAGCGCGGGCACGACAGCTATTTATGCCGTCGGAAGCGACAATAAATCGCCGCGGATCCGATGTGGGTCCGTATTAAAGGACACGTTGTTAACGGAATATATGCAGAAGGTTGCGAGTGCTAGGGACAAAATGAACGCGACGGATGGGAAAATCGGCTTACACGGTCTGTCTAAAAAGTAATCAAACTTTTCTAAAAATAACAAAGCACAGGCAACCTCAGAGGGAAAGTTACATTGCTGATACATAGCCTGAAATATACACGGAGGAATGTATTAACATCTACGTAATCTATAGATCTACAATCGTATTTAAATGAAGTACGAAGGATCTGTTTTATATTTCCACTAAATGTCTTGTAGCTTCTGTATAAATTTTTAGATTTCTTTCAAATTCTATCGATGTAATCGCCACAGTCGGCTACCATTACAGCGTTAACGAAATTTCAAAATGTGCCGTATATCAGACACGATATATTCGACAAAGTTTTCTGCAAGTATTCGAATACTTTCACGAGTCGCTGTATTTCGCGAGGATCTACGATGTTTCTTTCATTTTTAAGAAGTTTAGTCATTTTTTAGACAGACCGTGTGTATGCTCCAGGTGTTGCAGCAACACGAAAACGAGGCATCATTCTCAATTAAAGGAATCGCGTTTCGTGATGAGCAACGAAAAGAATCGCCAGCGGCTTCCGGCAGCAGAGTTACGAGTTACCCTAAAATGCTGGTTCGTGAAATCGTGCTCGAGCTTAGCGATACGCGCATCGAAATCCATTTTTCTATGAAATTGCCCCGCGAGATCTCTCATTATCAATTTCGAGGCGTCGCCGTGTAGTTAATGAAGCGAAAAGTAGGAAGACTTATCCGCAAATATCTGCGTTTATGAAGTAGCAGCGCTTCATTAAGGCCAGGTAATCGCGAGCAAGATCACGAAACGGTTACATTACTGCGCAGTTATTTATTGTTACGTTTTCCAGCACGTAGTTACCCTTAGAGTCCACCCCTGACTGTGCGTTTCCCTAAGCGAAAATTAATTGTTCTATATAAATGCCGGAGGAATATAGGTTAAGCCTAGTAAACGATTCGAAGAGGTGCGAAGATCGTGTGTTTATTTAATTAATTTACTCTAAACATTGAATAATTATTAATCTTGAAGTATCGATTTAACGTTTAAATTGTTCCCTGTTCTTATTCTAACGACTGCACGATCATAATCGAAGGCTTTGCAGCAATAAAAGAAACAGTACGAATATTTAAATTGTATTTATTGCAAGAAAACGGCAGGTACAAGTTTTATATTCGAAAGCGCGAGGGTTTATAGCCGACTATGAATTCATAGCAGAAAAGTCATAGCAAAATTCATAGTTTCAAAAAGTGACTTGATTTCGGTTGATTTCGACTTGGTGTTTGTTAGTTTATCTCCTTCGATCGATGATAAAGTTTGGAAATCTTTGATCGTGGAAGAAGAAGATAGAAATCTTTAAAATCTTTATACTTTCAGCGTGCGAAATACTTTTCCAAATATGCTGGATAAAACGATGAAAAATATTATCCACTGGAGAGTTAAGAAAGTATGAAAAATATGGTGGCGGAGGTTGGCGGTTAAACGGGCGCGATTGAATTGTTCTACAACTGGTGTTTCCTAGCGAACATCATAGACAAGAGGGTCGTGCGGAAAACTTGGCCCATCGTAAGATCCACGGAGTTCCTTCACCCCGGCTAGTTATAAAGCACCACCCTTTCCAGTGGTCGATGCAACCAAGCTGGGTTTATCGATCCCATGGAGATTTACATCGCCACGGCCTGGCTCAAGGGAATTATAAATCAGAATTTCGAATCGCCTCGTTATACGAGCGTTGCTAATTAACTCGAATCGGTAGCGGTAGGAGGAAAGAACGAGGGAGGGGGAAAAAAAAGAGAACGTCGAAAGCACGAGACTGTTAGACCGTGTCCATCATTCACGCCTCTGAACCATGATTCTTCCATTTTTTTTCCTCGTTCGATAAACTGCTTTTTGCACCGTGTTCGTTTATTAAAATTAATTGAAATTAATACAGAAAAAACGAACAACCATTCCGAATTTGATTCGACCGTTTTCTTCCTTAATTAAGTACATTATGTAAATTTTCGAGCACAGTTGTTCAAACAGTTTATACGAATATGTATATACCTTTTAATATTTTGCTTTAATATTAAATGTATTGCAACAACTGTTTCTTTTTTTTCGTATTATGAAACTTACATTAAGTTGCAGCTAAAGCGTGACAAAACTGTATAACTGGCAATGTCATAACTAAGAAGAACGCAACGTTTTACATTGATTTTACACTATACAGTCTTACGAGTAACACTAAATAAAACGTTACATCGTTGCGTATAGGACCTTCAAACTTCACGAACGCTTTCACGCGAAACATAAAACGTACATATATTCTATCGAAATACCAAAGTATTTTGGTTGACCTCCATTACGCTTCACGCGTATATTCTACATCATTGGAAAATGATAGCCATATCGAAATATCGTCGATCGTTAGCTCCGATTGATTCATCATTTTCCTAATTTTCGCGCGTATTCATAAAGCCCGGAGTAGCTCGTTAGTCAAGCGATTACAACGAGATTACATTCTTTTTAAGCGGCAGGCCACACGCGGAGCGTTCCGTAATCGTTTCGCGAGATTTTCTTACACTGGGCCACGTTCAAAGTGACTCAGAGAACCGCAATAGCGTGACGATGCTGCGTATAGTCGCGAACGTATACTGAAAACGTCTTTACAAACATGATCGTAGCAGGTCAGCAATCGCGATGGATTCTCTCGTAAAACGTTCGAGACCAACGTGGAACGATTCCATTGAATAATTCATCCAGGATCTCGTCCGGGCGTGTAGCTTTATTCATCGAACTAATTCTCGAGAACTGTAAATTGGAATTTTCGAATGAAAGCCTCTGGTGACGCGATCGTTGTACCGTTATATACGTTATGTAGCTAGAAGTTGTAAAGTGTGTACAAGTATTTATTTCTTCTTTGATTGCTGATAAGCCATGGAAATTGTGTACGAAACGAAATTAACTTTTTCTAGTACGTCCGTAGGAAACTGTGACACTTCATATTTATGGAGATACGTATTACAAATGCAAACGTGTTACTCTGAACGTGTAATGGAAAACCCGAGGTGGAATTTAACGCGAAGCATAGTCAGTGCTGTAACGTTAATGGCGAGCTATTAATTTTGATTGCGAAGACAATCTTCCAACTATATTTAATCTTCCCTAATTCCTGTTTCGAACGAGCCACGCTCCACGCGAAAATAATTGCTCCCATCGTAACGACATTTAGCTCGATTAAGCGGCGTTTACATTAGGCAACATTTAATTATTCAACGTCGATCATGTAAATCAATCAGATTCTTTATTCATCCATTATTGTCAAATTGATCCGAGTAACAACCATAGTCGATCATCTATTAATCGTTTTACCATTTAAATCAAACGACATATTCGATTATCAATAGCCGAGGATAAAACGTTCACAAAATAAAGCAATATATCGAATAGCGTATTGCGTTCGACGCTTAAATATATTGCATGTAAAAGTACGCTTGTGAAAGAAAATGCGCATGAACTTTCATGCTTGTACGAGAAGATCATCGTACATGGCGATCTAAATCGATCCGAGTCGATTCGAGCCGATCTTTCTCTCTGCTTATCATTAACGAAATACCAAGAACTCGCTAAGAACTCTGAAAATAATCTTCGCCAAACGCTCGACGTGCACAATCGTCTCGTTCGAACAGGGAACAGCCTCGTTCGGGTTGAGCAAATATTATCACGTCTATTATTAGTCGATGGTCTGCTCGGTGAACGGGATTCCTCTAAAAACACGATTACACGTGCACACCATTTCCGGCCTGTTGAACGTGAATGCAAGCTAGTTGACGCGATCGATTCCATTTCGTTTTGTTGCACCAAATTCCATCGTATTGCGCTTCTTCGCCGTGGCTATCGTTAGCAGTGAAAAAGACGCTCGTAATTTCCATTCGTTTTTCCACGTCGATTTTACGTCGCGTGTCAACCGGTTGCTTGGCTATGGAGTGTCTCGATTCTTCGGGATCACCGAGATTCCACCGGTATATTGGAGAGATTCTTTGTTGTCTTTGACGTCGGGTCTCGAGAGACAAAATGTGCTTTCGACTGAGATGCTCAAACACGCGACATTTCTTCACGGAAAATTCTTCGAACGCTGGACCACGTCCGACAATTTCTCGCGATGCTCCAGCTTCTTTCAAAGAGTACATCTCTTCAT